GAATATGCAGAAGCATGTAGCCCAGACCCACCTGCACAGAACACTGATTATCTCACCTTTCCCCACCTACAGTCACTGTTACTATGCTTTTCCCATAACTATCCCAAGCCTCTTGACTCCAGGGAGGCAGATCTGAGACTTGTTCTCTTATCTCCTCACTTGGCTGTCTCAAGAATAAACCCTTTCTCTGCTGCAAACCTCGGTATCTCAGCATTTGGCTTGCTGTGCATCAGGCAAATGGACCTGGTTTGGTAACAGAAGGGCACCTTTCACGTGAGAGATTTATTTCCTGCTTTCAGGGAGACAGAAAGGAGGGTGAGAGTGTCCCTCTTGCATTGACCATTTCTTAAGCAACTTTAATTTAAAATAATATGTTATTGAGACACATTTTGGGGCAGCTGACCCTAGGTCTCAACAGGGTGATGGTTTCACAACTGTATGTATACTGTAAACCATTGAAATGTGTATTTAAAACAGGTGAATTGATATGCATTGACTGAAAAAATATATACAACCTGAAAGTTGGAAATTATGCTTTATTTGGTGGACATACTGAGGTCTTAAGCCCAGAGACAGTCTCTCAGGTAGTTCTCAGGGACAGTTACCAAGAGATAAGGGAGAAGCCAGGATATATAGGAGTTTTTGCAGAAAAGAAAAAAAAACCCCACAGATAATCAGAACATCAAAAGGTTACTATTAATTAAGAAAACCAGACATCTCAAGTTAATGAATTTAGCACTTTTCTATGTATTGGAAGATAAAAGATTCTGGGCTCACTGAAATCATTCCTTTGATTCTCACCTTAACTGTATGGGGCCAGTATCCTGTTTTCTTCCACACTGTCCTCCATAGTAGCTGCACCAAATTACATTCCCACCAGCAGTGAAGGAGGGTTCCCTTTTCTCCGCACCCTCGCCAGCATTTATTGTTTGTGGACTTTTTAATGACGGCCATTCTGGCTGGTGTGAGATGATACCTCATTGTAGTTTCGATTTGCATTTCTCTCATAATTAGTGATATTGAGCATTTTTTTGTGTGCCTGTTGGCCATCTGTAACATAATTTAGTGACCTTCCATGAACCTAGGTACAATGAAAGTAAGACATGTGTGGATTGATAGATCCAACAAGCTAAACCTAGCTTTAATATCAGATATTAATTTAATATTGACTATTTCCTAGATCATGTGAACCTGGAATTTATTTTGGTCAGTTTCTTTTATATTTAGTAATATTTAGTTTGTAAGTGCTTACTTTTAGGTCAATTAAAAAGAATTATTTTATAAATGCTGATAATATTTTCTAAAGGTAGAGACGTTTCTTATGTATAATGTTTACACAGACATACAAACAGACAAAACTAGAGATCTGGTCGCTTCACTTTTAAACTTAGTTATGAATCAGGTATTACAATATGAACTTACTGGCTTATAAATAACAGTTAAAATAAGTTGGATTTGTTTGCTCAGATGACTAAGGCTTTGCTATTTGTAGAAAAGACTTTTAAGATTTGTATTTGTCCTTCATAAACCCCTAGGGAGGCTATGAATTAGATTCTGGGGGAAGGAGACTTCCAGTGGTTTGAGTTTAAAAAGGCTTTCCCCCTCCATTCCTACTTTTTCTTTCTTGGTTCTGGATTTTACCTGACTGAGCTAAGTAAGCTCGGGCTCAGGTCATAGTAGACTGTATTTACATTTCTGATTTGTCAAGATTTTCAGGACAAAGACAGTTGCCTTTAATTCTCCAAAGGACTGGTCTGCCACCTAAATGATACTAAAAGGTTGCTTTGCCCAACTATACCTTCTTTAATTTGCCTTTTATACTGGTGAGAAGATTCCCAACTAAACTGAAAATTTAAAGTTCCATGTTCCAAGATATCTTTCCATTTCTTAGTATCATCTTAAATTTCCTTCATCAATGTTGTACAGTTTTCAGAATATAGGTAACCTTCTTGGCTAAGTTTATTTCTAGGTATTTTGTTCTTTTTGATGCAATGGAAACGTTTATGCCAGTGATAAAATTCTGGTTTTTGAAGTGGGAAAAAAGAGTGAATGGCAAAATATCCTTCTTTCTTACGGGTGAGTTGTGTTCCATTACATATGTATGCTGCATCTTCTTTATCCATTCATCTATTGATGTGCACTTACGATGCTGCCATGTCTTGGTGATTATAAATAATGTTGCTGTTAATAGTGGAGTGTATGTATCTTTTTGAATGAATTCTAATTTAGTGGTTGGCTTTATTCCTTTGATAACTATGTAAGTTTAAAAAGCTAAAGCTCTAAATTTGACACAACATTGTAAAATGATTATAAATCAATAAAAAATGTTTAAAAAAAAGCTAGAGCTCTAAACGTTCTTAGAAACAATGAACAGTTCATATATGTAAATGTAAAAAACATGTACAGTATATCGCATTTATGTATTTACATGCAATACATTGTATATGTGCAGTCAAATTCTAACAATTCTACCTAATAAAACTGAAGAAAAAATTTCATGTTCTAGAATTTTAGCATGCAATTTATCATACCTTCAAAAGCTTGCAAAAGGCATTCAACAAAGGCCTTCTTTCTTAGTATACAGGTTAGACCCAAAACAAAATCTCTACTATTATTTTTATTAGTCCCTGAATATTAGCTCTCAGTTTTACTTTAATATTGTCTGGGCTCAGGTAACACTCTTGCTTTCCTTCAGTATGTTTAATGTATATTTCCTGAGGGGCAGATTCATATCTTATGATACCAGGCAGGAGAAGCGCTCCCCAGTGGAACATGTCAATCCCACAAAATAATGAAGTGAAAGAGATGTAACCGTCTTCTATAGAGTCCATTTAAATATGCCAATTTTGGCAAACTTTCATCTCAGTTCTA